GCCAACACTGAAAAATCAGAATATTTCAGACAAAAATCTGAACGAGATGTGCCGTCCAGCTTGCTCCAGTCCTCACAATGCTCAGCTCTTGCACAAAAGGAATTTAAGGAGGGACCTTGCTCACCTTCCTCATTCTGACACCTGCTTGCCTGCCCAAGGGGCACGATTTACTCCCCATGCTTTACGTGGGTATCCTGCCCAGGATTTCATAGCTGCTAGGAAAAGAGGCCCATTTAAACTCGCTCAAGAAAGCGGGGTTATGAAACAGCAATTCAGGTGCAGGAACTGTGGCAGACTTGGATTCATAACAACGGAGACTAGAAGCCAGTCTCCTTGTTAGTGTCTCTGCTTCTCACTACATTACTGATTCCATTCTTCTCTTGCCACAAACTGGCTTCCTCTTCTTAGTCATCTTTTCAATCCCTTCTTTGCCTCAACTTGATCAAAGAGTCTCATCCCAATCCCACACCTGCCCCACAAAATCTTCCTTTACTGCCAACTGCCTTAGTCTTTAAATTTTCCAACCACAAACCAGGCACTGTGGCGCTCGCCTGTAGTCCCAGCTACTCAGGAGTCTGAGGTAGGAGGATGGCTTGTGCCCATGAGTTTGAGGCTGCATTGAGCTATGATCGTACCATTGCACTCCAGCCTGGGTGACAGAGCAAGGTCCTGTCTCTAAAATAAATATTAATAAATAAATACAAATTCCAACTATAAATTCCTGAAAGAAGAATTTGATGGACCAGCATGTATTTTCAAGCTTGATCATATATGTCATAAATTACTTTCAAGCTGCAATAGGTCATGCTGGGGGAAGTACATAGATGTGGTCCAAACATCTGTGACCAGGTGGACTAGAAGTTTCCTTTTAAAGGGCTGTGGGTTGACAGGCACTATAAGGCATAACTTAGATAATATCCTAAGCACAATTAACCCTCATTGCAATGTTGAGTGAGAGCCATTATTTATACCCATTTTATAGAAAAGAAAATCGAGCCTTAGAAAGTTGATGAAATTTGCCCAAGGTATTAAGGGGTGGAGCTGGAACATGAACTCAGGCTGTCTAACTGACAAACTCAGAGTCTTCATTTTCATTATAATCTTTCATGACCTAACATTCTTAGCTATGCTCTACTTTTTGAAACTTAAAACTCTTCTTTTGGATTCTGTGATACTACACTCTTTCAGTATTCGGATTGTTCCTCCACTCTTTTTAATTTCTCGTTTTTCTGATTCTTTTTTTATTGTTTTTCTTTTTCTTTTTTTTTTTTTGAGACAAAGTCTTCTCTGTTGCCTGGGCTAGAGTGCTGTGGCATCAGCCTAGCTCATGGCAACCTCAAACTCCTAGGCTTAAGCAATCCTTCTGCCTCAGCCTCCCAAGGAGCTGAGACTACAGGCATGCGCCACCATGCCCAGCTAATTTTTTCTATGTGTTTTTAGTTGTCCAGCTAATTTCTTTCTATTTTTAGTAGAGACGGGGGTCTCATTCTTGATCAGGCTGGTCTCGAACTCCTGACCTTGAGTGATCCACCTGCCTCAGCCTCCCATAGCGCTAGGATTACAGGTGTGAGCCACCATGCCCGGCCATCGTTCTTCTGATTCTTAAATGTAGACTCTCATGTCTCTTTCTAAACTATCTTCTTAGGAAAAATCATAGGCTTCTACAGATTTGGATATACTCAGACATCATAATTTCTTAACCTGGGGTGCTTGAACCTCCCTCACTCCTAGTAAAGGGACCCATGGATAGAATGTAGGGGCTTCATGAATTTGAATGAGAAAAAAAAAATCACATCTTTATATTTTCATTAAACTGTAACTAAAATTTACCAAGTCCTTCAATTATGAATATAGGGAACAAACCACTGTAATAGCAGCAACCCTGGTGACCTTGTTACCAATAGAAACCACAGGTATTTTCATATTTTCCAATTATTGCAAATATTTCAAAATTTTATTTTTTCTTATTACTACTTCAAAAATCGTGATGGCTATTTGACACCTCACTAGATTTTGATATTTAATGCATTAATTAAGAAGCATAGAGATTATCATATTAAAAATTTAATATTTTGATAACTGTTTTGCAATATAGTTTCTTTTGTAATCCTGTAATTTTTTATTTTCTATATTTAGAAACTTTTATTTTTTGAGAAAGGGCCTGTAGACTTCACCAGACTGCTAAAGGGTCCTAGGCACCCTTCTCTGCAACAACAAAAAAAATTTAAAAACCCCACTTTTTTTTTTTTTTTAGATAAGAGTCTTGCTCTGTTGCCCAAGGTAGAGTGCAGTGGCGTCAGCCTAGCTCACAGCAACCTCAAACTCCGGACCTCAAGCAATCCTCCCACCTCAGCCTCCCAGAGTGCTAGGATTATAGGCATGAGCCACCACACCAGGCCTAAGAACCCCTGCTTTAAAACACTGTGGCCGGACGTTCTCTAAAGACTTGTAAAGGGGATCAAGTCCTGGGCAACACAGGGCGACTTCCCTCAAGCCTAATGACCTCCTCAGTTTTCTGAGTCCTGTCTTTAAGTTTCAGCTGCCAGCTCTATCCTTAGACTTTATTTGTCAGATCTGCGTCTAATCTTCCTTGTGGTCTGATACCCTGGTGTTGACCTTGGATCTCTGCCTTACAGCCCGGATTGCTTTCTGCTCTTGGTCACTCTTCCACTTTGTTTACTAACTCTGGGTCTCAATTCCACACTGGCCTTGCTTGGTTCCTGGAGTGTTAAAGCGCTTTGTCCTGCATACAAGCTCTCAAGATGAAACATTTCATCTAGGGTGGACAAAAATAGAGCAAACTATTGCCAGAGTAATCTGCTTGAAGTATAGTTCTGATTATATCTTTGCTTCTCAGAATACTTACAAAGTACAAACTTCTCAGTTAGTGCACTTTTGGTTTCACAAAACAAAACCCATTTGAAGTGGCTTAAGCAAGATGAGAAATTTATAAATATGGGGATATTACACAGCCCTCCAGAACAGGGATATAGGAACAGGTTGAATCACAGACAGCGACTAACTTTTCCTGTAAAGGGCCAAATGTAAATGTATTGTGCTTCGTCACTCCATAGACAATACAAAATGTAATATGTTCCAATAAAACTTTATTAATAACACAGCCAACCAGCTAGATTAGATGCACAGGTCATAGTTTGAGGACCCCCTAGATTAAAGCATTGTCAGGACTCTTTCTGAAATTTATAGCTGTTAGTTACTCTCCAACTCTACTACATCTCTGTTCTCTTCCGACTTACTATTAATAGCTTCTTCAGCTTCTCCCATTCTCATGTTGCAATGTGGCTTCTGAAAGCTCTCAGCTTCTAAGGTACAAATTCAAGCTCTCTTGCTTTCCCAAAATCTTTAGGGTGGGAATATTGCCTTGCTTTGCTCTCCCCTAGATCAATCAGCTGTGGCCAGGGGGCTACGACTTGCTGTATGGCCAGAGCTTTGGGGGCCTTCACAACCTTTAGGATGAGAGCAGAGGAACAGATTCCAGAAAAATGCAAGGAGCAGGGCAACCCAGTGCAACCTTGCTGCATTCATTCAAACCTACGTTTTTTAGCACTGTCCTCTACTAGTTCCCTCATATCACTTTCTGAAGCAAAACCAACTCTTTGTTATTTTCCTTACACACTCTGAATATTCCCACTCTGCATCCTCCCTATCTGCCGGAAGAGATTCTACTCATCTTTAAAGTCCCTTCTATAAAAAGCCACCCTTTCCTTCTTTTTCCTTTCTATCCCCACAACACTGCAGTGGCACACTGTGTCTAGTTCTGTTGCTGTTTTTGTACCTGTCTTTTTCTTTCACAGACAATTAGGTGCTCTGCTGACTGAGGAAATGACTTATTCAACTTTTTATTCACTCTGGTACCTTTCACAGAGTAACCTCTGAGTTCTAATTTGTGGAATTTAACTATGTCTTCACAGCTGAAAAATTCTAAACTGAAGAAAATGTTGACTTTAATAAAGACTTGCACTTATACAGGAAATATGGTATCCACTTTTAAGAAAATTATTTTATTCCACATTTATGGTAGCAAAATTACATTTGCAGAGACATATTAACTACAGCAAAACTTATATTTAAAATTCTTAAACACTAAGAAGACACAAAGTCCCACCAGAATTGTATCTTCTGTTATTGTACTAAATTAAACAAAGATTCCTACTACAGAAATGACCTGTTTAAGATAAGCAGTAGGAAAGGTTAAAAACTTGAAATATTCATAATTGTTTTTTTTTTTAAAAAGTCCCAAAAGATGAGTATATGTGCAAGAAATTTATCAAAGAGCCACAGACCTTATCATCTAATTTCTTTCTTTTTTAGAGCTATTAATTAACATTGTTCCCAGATCTCTGCTAAACTCCCCTGCTGAAAGGAAGAAAGTAAATACAGTACTGCAGGGAAAACTGGTTCATTTACACGGACTGTGAGAAGCTTGAGCTTTTGTCAAACAGAAAATACTTGCTAAAGAACTATTCCTAGTGTATTAGCAACTACATAAAAGGTTTTTACTTAACAGCATCCTCCTGGGATACTGCACTGGAATGTGCAGCAGTTCTGAAAAAGGCACAGATTTGGCTGAACTGTAAATATTAGGTGCACACAGGCGAAGCCATTGTGTAGGGGGGCGGGTGGGGTCCTGATTTCCAATGTCGATAGCAGGATTCTAATTTCGTTGGGTATTTATTTTTTTCTGCTACAACTGCTGTTTTGTTAAGAAAAATAAAATATCGGTTGTGCTCTCATCTGGATTTCCAATTTTCAGCATCCACAGAAAAAAGAACACCTCTCATTTACCCAAAAGAGTCACCTTTCTGAAGTCTCCAGAGCCGCTGGAAAAACAGAGGCGAGCCCAACCCCCGCCCCGCCACCTGCTGAGAACCCGGCCCGCCCATCCCGCCCGCCTCAGGTCACTGGGCTCGCCCTGCGCGCCCGCGGCCCAGAAACGAGTCGCCGCGGCACGACCGAGTCAGTTGGCAGTTCTGGGTGGGGATGCTCCAAACCAGCAAACCACAACACACAACCCCGGCTTGGACTTTGCACCAAGCCCTTTTGCCCGGTTTGCTTTCTGCTCGGCTCGCCGGGATCCTCGGCGCCCCAACTCTCAGCTTCTCCCCAGCCTCCGGGGTCCCTCTCGCCACCTGCGCGCCTCCCAGATCAAAACGCTTTGCGGAGGAGGCTGGAAGGCGCCCCGTCCACCCGCCACCTTAGGGGGAGACGGAAACTACAACTCCCATCACGCCCCGCAGCCGCTCCCTCCCCCTCCCCCCCTGCAGCCTGAGGCCGGGCGGCGCTGGGCTTTCATCCGCGGACCCGGCGGGAGGGAGCCACATCCCCGCGGTCTTCCCCGACGGCGGCGCCGTGCGCGGCAGCTCTAAGCCGGGTTCATCTTTGCGTCCGCGCCAGCCCGGAGCCCCGGGGGCACAGGGTCCGTTCCTGGCGCAGCGAGAGGATGGTCATCCGCGTATTCATCGCCTCTTCCTCGGGCTTCGTGGCGGTGAGCGCGCCGGGGACCCGCGGCGGGTCGGGGTCGCGGGGCGCCGGGGGCCGGGCGCGGGTCCCTGCGGGAGGCGCGCGGCGCTCGCCCTTGCGCTTCTGGGCGCGCGGCGCGTCCGCCGCGGGAGCCCGCGCCCGGCAGGTGATCCATCACGCCGGGACAACAATGAAAAGGGCGGGGAGGAAAGGTGGGTGTGGGACCCCAGGCTCACTCCCGTGCCCACCCTGGGCGGCCTGAGGGCGAGTCGGCGCGGCGGAAAATGGAGTCCGAGGGGAGCCCCCCGCGCCTGCTGTGTGGCTGGGGAGATTGGGGAGCGGGTTGTCTAAGAGCTTCGGGGGTCCCCCTCCTTTAGTTTAGTTCTTCCTGATTTGGGACCTTCAGCCTGGTTATGTTTCTGGTCGGGAGCTTTTTCGGCTGCTTTGGTTTGCCAAACTAGTTCCTGAATGAAACAAGTTTAAGGGACTTGCTCTCCACCCTCCCTTCCCCGCCACCAAGTACATTCCTTTAGTTTTATACCTGCGCAAAGAGAACGGTAAACCAGGCTTGTCCTGTTCTGCCAGGGTTGCAAGTTTTTTGTCACTTTTCTTGCTAGGGGGCCATAAATATTTTTACATCTTTATGTAAATATGTGCGTATTCGCATTTTCTTTCCACCTGTAATGCTGCGGTATATTTCATCTTGGAGATCTATACATTGTAGTCTCTTTATTTTCAGCTGTTCTGTTTGGTGAATGTTCTTGAAATTTTTTAGGAAGTTTTTTTTTTGTTGTTGTTGTTAAAGAAGAAGCGAAGTTAAATAGCCAGAGATGTCAGACTTTATGGAAAAATTCAGTAGTGTAATTGACAGCCCATTCAGTAAGATATGTGGCACATGTGTTTTACATGATTGTTGAAGCTTGGTTTTCTTAGCTAAGAGTTAAACTATAGATTTAAGAGTCTTTTTGGTGAGATATATAATCAAATACATCAAAAAGTGCACCGTAGATTGCTTGAAGTTTGGATTGGCCAATTGCCTGCCCAGTAGTTCAAACAGATTGTCCCCAAATTGGTTTCTTAAGTGGGTGGGGTGGAGGGTGGAATAAAATACTGCCCGCAAATCCTTTTGAACCACTAACGCTTTTTATTTCAAAAGAAACCAACACTGTAATATGAAGACCCCTGCCTCCCCCTCCCCCACACCCCCCCCCCATTTAATGCTAGGGGGAATAGATGGGAAACTCCAACTTATCTTTATGTACAGGCATGTTCTGGTCCTCAGACATCTGACAATTTCTGGTGTTTCTAGTTATTTGGGTTGCTTAGTCATCCCTGCCTTTTATAGATTTCCCCATTTGAAGCTGCACTTCATGTGTTTGGAAACCAGTATTGTTTTATGGATAGATTTATTCAAATGCTCTCTCCTTACTAAGAATGCTACAGAGTGCTTGGTTTCATCACCAGCTTGCATGCTTCAATAATTGTTCCAATAGCATTTTATTGATTGCACAAGGGATGCTTTATAGTATTAAGCCTAGGCCATGTGTGGCAAGTCAAAGACAAAGTCGGAGTAATTACTTGGCTTTTCCTGTCAGTAGGTGGTATATCAAGACAGTTCTGGAACCCCACATTTCTGTTTCCTTAGTTCCATTAACAAATATTTGTTGTCTGTCTGCTAAGCGGCTTTTAAATTTTAAGATTTGTTGTTGTGTGTTTTGCACATGGAGCTAAAATGAAGAGAGTTAGTTTTCGTGTGGGTCCTGACTGGCAATGTAAGCTTGGATAAGGTGCGCCTTCTCTGCTTGAGTTTCTTTTCTGTAAATGAAGGATTCTGATAACTAACTCATAATTGCATTTTAGTTTTACAAATGTTTTGACTTCATCAGGTGAGTAAATGTGGTTGAATCCTCATAATGGCTTATTTTTCTTGGATGATATACCTATTAGTCTCAGAGTGAATTTATTCTTTTCCTTGGGTTTAGTGTGCTGGCTTAGGTCCCTTCAGTGCCCGACCTGGAAGCATGTGTTTTGATGTGGTTTCATTTGAGCTGGAACACGTCCTCAGCTACCACATACTTACAGTCCATAAACGCTAATTATCTATTTTAATGGTCTGCAGTTTGAAGACGCAGTCTTTTCAGTTCTTGGAAAATTCTTGTTCATTGAATCTTCCCATTTATATCGTATATCAGAACACAGTTATTCACTGACTTCTTCCAATTGTAATATTATCTCTTATGTCAGTACACAGTTTTTCTGTAATATTGATAGTTTTGGTGATGGTAAGCTTCTGTTCATATGCAAGTATAATGATTCCTAAAAAATTAATGAAAATGTTTAGGTCAACTCTTGGCCTGAGGAAGCTAATGGGGCTTACAGCATTAAGGTAAATTAAGCTTTGACGGCATAGCCATAATGGTTTTCCTCCAGCAGTGTTGGGTGGACTATCGGCAGTGTTTTATTTGATACCCAACCATGACCAGATAGTGCATGGGAGAGCAAATACTTTGATTCCTAAGTCAGTTTAGTTTTAGGTGAAGTGTATTAAACCACAAGAAGGGAATGTGACTAGAATTAGACTTAGCTAAGTAAGTCCCATGGATTTCCAAAAAGGTGCTCTGCTTCAATCAGCAATAGATTTAAACAAAGTCTATTTAGAGAAAATCAAGCCTTCTTATTCTGATCCCCATAAGCTCCCAGCTTCAAGAATTGAAATAACTAGCACCAAGGGGTGATTCCCCTATTAATTCTACCAAACTACAGGTGAAGCTTGCTTTTACTAGGAAACAAAAGTGATGCCACACTATTGTACAGCGAATACCTGAAAATCAGATTTCTTATATAATTGACAATGTTGCTGTCATTCATGTTATAATGTAGGAACATTTTATTTCAGTTCTAAGAAAATAGTATATTCATAGAAAAGTCATTTTAAAATTAAATTTATTTTGGATGTATACCTGAAAAGGGTGATCTTGCTAACTTTGTCCAGTAAATATATTAATATGATTTTTGAATTTAAAAACATTGAAGTCGGTCAAGTATTTCATTCATTTATTCATTCAGGTTTGTGCTGCTTGTTCAGCTCTGTCCTTGGTCTTATGAGGAACCAAAGAATAGAGGGTGTGGTCTCCGTCCTCAAGGAATTCACAGACCAGGTGAGGAGATAAGAAAGGAAAGGTAAAACTGGCAGTAATAAAGTACAGCCTGAGGACACATGCCTCTTTCGGGAACATTCTTACCAGAGACAGAAATTATATAGGAGGCTGAGGGATGTATTGCAGGATGTCAGATAAGGGGGAAATGTGCCAGAAATCATAAAATATGCATGTGGGAGCCTTAGGCAGATGGCAGGGAGAGGAGTTGAGTTAGATTTGGAGATGGGGAGAGAGTTCATGAGCCCATCTTGCTTAGGCTGGGAAGGAGTAAGCTCTGGGGGGAAGGGAGTACACTCCTAAGTCCCTGAAAGAAGCCCATGACAAGCTCCATCGTGCTCCACATCTCAGAGATGTTTTCAGTTCCTGCAGCTTGTCTGCCACCTGGAGCCTTTTGTCCCTCAAGAGAACGTGGTGCTGTCTGGCAGTGGGAGACCCTTGGTATATGATTTCTAAAGAACCTTTACTTTCTTACCTGCCTTGAATAAAATTTCTCAAAAAGCAAATACAGTCTTTTACTTATTAAAGTCCCAGGGCTCAGTTAGAGTTGGAGGGAAACCTAAAGCGGTTTCTGGTGAAATCTAACCACCTAATTTTATAGAAAAGGAAACTTGAGCATAGGGGTGAAGTGGCTTGCTCTGAGGTCATTTATGTCTGGTCAGTGCAGAGCTAAGATTTATTAGGATAGGAAGCCAGATTCCTGAATGCTCTCATTCATGCATTGATTGATTCACATATTCATCCAACAATCATTGGAAACTTACTACCCAGCCTCTGTATTAGGAGATGTTAGGTGCTAGGTGTATGTGGTGGCCAGGAGAACAGGCTCTTCCCTCATGGTGCAAATCATTGCTGTCTCTGTTCACCTCAGAGACTTTCTGTGCAAACCATTTAATCAAGGAGAATGAAGGACCAAAGCTGTCGTTGGGGAATGTTTCCTAGGCATAGGAAATGAGCGAGACAGCGGTATTACTCTGGATATTGGAGAGCCATGTCACTGGGAGCAAAAGATATAAAGATACTGAAAGCAAAATTGGAAAACAGAGTTTTATTTGGGCCTGTAACAGTATTTTCAAGAAAGGATGGGTAAGGGAACACATAGAATCTATGCTCAGAGTTGTGAGTTATCTTGCTCTTTGCAACTCTAAAATGTATACCTACTACTTTCCATGATTTATGATTATTTTAAACACTCAATTACCAGGTAAGCTATTGCATCCTATGTGAATGTGTTCAGTAAAGCTTCACGGTGTAAGGAAGCCTCAGAAAAGAATTCCAAGGCAGTTAAAGTCAGCATATGATCTTGTAGAATGGGCTGGGTATTAATTTCTAAGTTATTCTAATGTCACAAGGAGCTAGTGTAGGTGTGCCTGGGCTCTTTAGGGTCTTTAACTCTTTAGATCCTCACTGTCACATGCAAGGTAGTTATTTATTCCCATTTTACAGAAGAGACTGAAGTGAACTGACTTGGTTGAGATCATACTCAGTAGGTGGTGGGACCTTGAGTCAAACCCTGGTGAGCAGGTGGCTCCAGAGTTTCTAGAGCAGAAGTTCTCTCTTGTGGTCTCTGTTGCACCCTGGGGGGGGGGGATGAGAATATCAGGGACACTTGACATCCTGCAGTGTGGGACACCTGGGCACAGAGAACTGCCGCATTCAGAATGCCAGTGGTATCTCGGGGAGACACAGTGCTGAAGGACTTTGGCAGTGGAGGGTGTGGAGGGAGGCTGGGGAAGAGGTGGGAGCATATAAGAAGTGATCAGGAGAAGCAGGAATAAGTTGGGAGCTCAAGGACAGGATGTGGTTGTAATGGAAGCTCAAGCTAAGAAGGCATGTGTATCAGTTTCCTAGGTTGTTCACAAAATCCAAG